TAGGCATCAACAATATAGTTGAGACATTGCAGAAAAATGCAGAAAAGTCCGAATCCGGTCAGGAGACCCGACAGGGTTGGCACGATCCAATGTATATCAGATCTGTACCCTGACCAACCGAACCAGAAGAGACCGCCGGAAAAGGCCACCCCGCCTATAATGGCCGGGGGTAGACGCCATTCGGGGATGGGTATGTCCTTATTCGCACTCAGTCGTCTGTTATACCATGGCTGGAGGGTAATAATAAATATTCCGCCCAAAAATTCGCCGATGATTATCCCAAAATAAGGAAGCCCCCCAACGCCTTTATTGAAACCGTGGATGCGCTGAAAGACAATTGGATATGCGGTCAAGAATAGATACAGCAAGCCATAGAGGAATGCCATGTAGATACTTAGCAGGAGCACGATCGGTTCGGTGAACAAGATCCTTAGTGGACGACTGAAATTCTTGCGGATGAGCTCTCCAAATTCAACTTCGATCTCCTCTTGCTTCGCGTGAATGCCCCAATTTCTCGTTCGTCGACGAAGCTCAGCAGCCTTCCCAATTAGCACAACTGGAGAATATGTCTCCTCCAGAAAGAACAAATCTAGAGCAAAAGCCGAGGCGCCCATGATTCCAGTGAGGTATTCCGTCCAACGCCAGCCTAGGTAACTTTCAACGATGAAGCCACCGATGAAAGGAGCAAAGAGTGGGCCGGTAAAGACTGTCATGGTAAAAACCGTGATCGCGAGGCCTCGATGGCGGTTGTCATAGATGTCGGAGAACACCGCTGCAACAACAGCGATGGGACACGATCCAAAAAAGCCACCGAAGAAGCGACATATTAATATCGTTTGGAGGTTTTCCGCGGTAGCCACTGCAAACTGAAAGACGGTAAAGCCGAACATGCCAATCAGAATGGGTATACGCCGGCCTTGTAGCTCAGACCACGGCGAGAAAAATGTCGGGCCACACGCAAACCCCAAGACATACAGCGAGAGGCCGAGAGTACCTACTTCGGTCGAGACATGAAACTTCGATGACACAACCGAATTGGCGGCAGAGTAGATGCTGCTTGTGAAAGTCGCATTGAAAGTCGTGTATGCCAGCATGGCGGAAACTGCAATCCTATACGCAGAGGTGAGTCGCCATTAGTCTTCTGATGCAAACTCGGAGTGACTTACTTCTTCTTCATAGACCAGTTCTGAGGATGCAGAGGATCATTCGGGCCAGCAAACTCGACGACATATTCCTCTCTCTCTGGAAGAGGCGGGGGATAGGGCTTTCCTGCGCCAAATTCTGGCAGAGGTCTTTTTGACACGAGTGGCTTGAGAGCACCCACAGTGGCGCTATGCTGGCTTCTCTGAGTTGCAATGCGACTGAGTGCTGTTGGATGTCGTTCTAGACCAGCACCTCGTAGCGTCTGGGCAGTCTGAATCTGCGCCAAGTAGTAGTCACCCTCTTGCGCTTGTGTTGACGAGCTGGAAGAGGTGACCGAGGATGAGAGGGAGTCAGACCGAGAGGCACGGCTCCCATGATTGAGGCTCTGACGGCGGCTTGGTGCACGGTATGCCTCCAATTCAGCCTTTTCGAGATCCCGCGACAATGAATCCATGCGGACAATTACGCACGCAGCCTAGAAGACAAGTGCTGGAAACCATAGCAGAAATTAGGAGAATTCTCTTCTTCCGCGATGCAGGAAGTATCGGTAGGGTGAATTTGGTTTGAGACAAGATTTTCAAAGCAGAATCGTACGGGCGTCCACTTGAAGAGGCGAATGAAGTAGACTGTGCGAAGCTACGCGATTCAAATGGGCTTGTAACCCAACCATAGCGGCAAATTGGACTTACTTGAAGATGATCTCAAGCCGCCTCTTCGGAAAAAGTCCCGACACGAGAATCTTCCTCGATGCCTCTTTGTGCTTCGCTCTGCTCCATGGGGCCACAGTTAAGGCTCTACTTTTTGTAATGCAAGGCCTACAATCAGTACATGGATAGGGATATTGTTCTCATAAATTGTCAATTTTCCTTTAGTCCTTTTTGATTTGGCTGCGAGAGGCACATATGAAAAGAAGTGGCCAAGCTTGGTTCAGGCATCATCATCGTCACTATCATCATCAGGTCAGCAATCAGTCATGTACTTAGGTAGGTAAGTACTATGTAACCGTGGTAGCACTATTACCTAGTCACTGTCACTAGTGATAGAAGGCAATATGGAAGTCTGGCCTCCTAAACAAAAAGACAAAACTTTGTGGCTAAAATCATGCCCAAAATCACTGCGTGATCTTCAAGGAAGAGGGGGGCGCATCCTCTCCTGTCTTCTCCATGATAGTGTTGAGGAATACAGGAAGCATTTAAAACAACAAAAATAGCAGTAGATAGGCATAGCCAATATGTAGGGCTATGAATTTGATGAACAGCATAAAACTTTGTATGGCAGGTCGGACAACGATCTGATGGCGTCAGTTACAGTAGGGCTCTGCTTTTGACGTCAGGATGCTGTATAAAAAAGGGGGGCGAAAATAACCTTATTTCCTCCTCGTGCCCATGCTACATTGATGATAATAATAGAGATTGTAGTATATTCTAGATTATCAGGAAATATCATACATGAAAATCTTAAAGGACATGAGACTCACTACCGTCTTTCTCAGAGGGATGGTAGTGAAAGACATTTTTATATAATCATGAACGCTGCTCCCTTGCAAGGAAAGAAATCACACCTAATAATAAAAGATCATGGTTGAAGCATGTTCAATACACTATGTATCTAGATCCTGAAAACAATAAGTTATGAACATATCATCATTGCGACTCTCTACTAACTTTGACCAGTCCACTAGCTGATGATGTGACGAGGTACAGTGGTATGTATGAGAGATATCATACAGTCTACCTTATATAACTTAGTATGTATCATCCAAGGCACTATATTAATTTGACACCTTCATAAATCACATATATCAAGAGAACCCTTTACATGTCCTCAGTGGCAACCGAAAAAAGAAATAGAACTTCAGTATAATTAAGTCATTGTAAAGCATAGAATATGTTAGTTAAAGTTGATTTTAAAGTAAACTTCATCAGATAGTTAATAGGATAATTGATGGTAAGTGGTCAGTGATCACTGGATAATATGAAGAGGAATCTAATGAACTCAAGGCACATGCGTGAGTTAAAGCTTTTAGTTAAATAACTTAGTACTCCCAGTGCCTATCAGCTTCCTCAGGTCTGTATACATACCATTATTCAGGGAGGACAGCTCCCACATCCCTAAGGGCGAATAATTTGTCTTGATAAAACACAGGCAGCCTGCTGTCATTCAGGCAATAAGTGCGGCTGCTAATGCCCTCACATAACTAAGTACTTCAGAAATTAAGACTCATATACTGTGGGATAACTGATTGTCAGTTTAAAAAGTGCTAGGCAGGCTCAAGGAACATCATTATTGTAGAATTTTCTTAGGTTTTCTAGATCATTAATAATTATTCCATAGTTTGTTCCAAGCAAACTAAGCAGTAGTGATGGGTTTCATAATGATCAGTATAAGTAATTAAGCATGGTTTGTTGACCCTTTTACTTCATACAGAGTACCTCTCATAACAGATGCAGGAATCTTATAGATAGTCTAGACTCTGTCCATCACTAACACAAGAAGTCTTACCCCTGAACCAACCTGCTAATAATATATACTTTACAAAGCCACCAATAATTTCCAATTAAGGGGGTTCAAGTGGGGCTAATGAAACCTTTGGCTGTTCATCCCGTCGCCACTTCTCAGGTACCAAACTTGTATGATTGGTATCTGTACCTGACTAGTGGTACAAGAGTGTGCTTTACCTCTTACAGTTCCTGTCTCTCAACAAAAGCAAGAGAGAATAGACCAATCGTAATCTCCTGGAGTGCAGAGGCGGTATTATGTATGGAGTATGTACAGATTATCGAGTACAAAGTACAGCAGTACTTGACATGGACTACCTGCAAAGTAAGCTACCTGGAGAGGCGCAGGATCTCTGACTCCTTACCTTTACCTGTATTCTAGGTACTGAGGCACCTGGTTCATACACAGTCGTGCCTGAAATCTACTCCCACGACTGTACTGTGTTAAGCTACCTATGGCTGGATGTGTACGGCAAGGTACCTACCTACATAGTTAATGAACATAGAAAGCTTATAGAACTTCATCATCATAAAACAATCAGGGCCAATGCTGAATTTCACCTTACCAGAGAATCTACATGTTGGCTATAATTATTGTTATGGATCTTGAATATTACCTCTAGGCGAAACTAGGTAGGGAGAGGTATGGACAAGCTTAGCACAAGTGTGACCAAGGTAGTACAAGTATTGTTGTTATTACTCGGTACTGTTTCCTCATCTTTGCACTAACCTCACTTGCTAGTCCAGTATTTTGCTATCTCTCCTTAGTCGTTGACCCCTTGGTCGCTCTCTCTTTTGTTGTTCTTTTTCTTCCATTATTGTTATCATCCTATCCATTCCTTTTTGCTTGCTTGCCGATTCAGTTTCTCTAGTCTTTTCCCGCTACCCTCCCTACCTTCCAACTTGGTCTCCTCGCGGAGATCATTCACACTCATTTATTCAAGTCTGCTGGTCTTCAGCTTCCGCTCTTTTAGGGGAAAAAGCCGTTCCCGTTCGCTCCTTGGTCGATCGGTGTCAATTTCGGCAGCGCATCTGCCTTCGTTAGCCTGCTAATCCAATCTGTCCATCGATATTCTCACAGCTCTGGCCTGTCTATAAGCCTTTCTTTTTGCTCAGCTAATGTCACCTGTACTCTTACATTCATGATTAGAGGTCGTCGATTGCCGGATTTGATCGCTGCTCCTCGCAATTCATTGCAAACCCCGCCCCTTCGAATCAATCCGACGACTATAGGGGTCCACTGAGCTTGGAGATCTTTGTATCGGCCGTCCGACTCAAAAAGTCATTGAGACCAGACGAGTTAGGACGACCATGCATCATCATCGCCAACATCAACATTTTCCCAGTCATGGAATCCACATGGCCGTGCGATCCCCGCCGCGCCGACCAGACATTGTGCCTCGAGACCGTGTGCCTCTCTTGGTTGGCACCGAAGATCCAACCCTTGTGAAAAGGGTGCCTTCGACATCTACGACGACCGCAAGCTCCCGTTGTCCTGAGGGTGACACCTCCAGTGCATGCGAGAAATATACAAATTCGGCCAGTACAACGACCTTGCCGATAGTACTAGGCGCAGTGTACGTGGAGTTCTCATTCTTCGTCTGTTTCTTACGCATGGGCTGATGAGCAACCAGAATCCCAATTATATGCGCCATTATCGTCCTGTTTTATCTGCATCGGCGGAATGTGAAGAAGCTCCGGCAGGAAGATGCCAATGACAAGCATAAATCTCTCGATTTTGGCTTAGATTTGGAACCCAGAGCTGGGTCTAAACCAATGACGCAGGCAGAGAAAGGGAGCAACCTGCATGCCAAAGGAATGTCCCTCGACATAGGCCCAAGCCCCTATCTCCTTCCTCCTGGTCTGCATGGTTCTCGGGAGTCGTTACACTCCCTTTCAAGATCTATGATTGGTGACGACGATAAATACCGCCATGCAAGCTCATTCCTCGGTGATAATGCATCTGTCAGATCGCAGCCGAGGGGATTCCACGATGACACGTCGGCATTCTCCAGATCGCAGAGTAAAGCCAGCCTGCGAGGAGATGACATGAACCAAGGTTTACTGCAGAACGCCCAGAGAATTTCGCGTTCGTCACCGCCACTGTATAATGCTCCTTCGGACGGTGGTAGCTTGCACAGTCCGCTGGGCCAAGGAAATGGGCAGGATGTGGGGTTGCAGTTGAATCTCCCGCGCAGTTTGAGCCCCGTTCACATACCGGGAGTCAGTGGTAGCCGTGGAACAAGTCCAGCACCAGGTGGCCATGCCGACGGCGGCGAGGACATATCATCGTCGGAGGCCCGCCATGGCAATTTGCCTCAACAACCTCCCAAGAACGCCATGGACCCTTCAATGGACCCTTCATTGGACCTGCATCTCGGCACTCGTGCACAACAGAGTCGTCCCATTCATGAAGCTCTGCCGACTAGTTTTGACTCGGCTGCGCCTTCAAAGCAGTCACCATCCTTGCCAACACCTCGGATTTCACTTCCTGTGAGCGATGCAGCGAGCGACTATGGTGATAATAGAAAGTCTTATCCTGAGATCCCGGCAGTGAATGTCTACGGGGCCGAAGATGCCCAGAAGCGTGACGCGGCCCCAAATCATGCAGCAGCTCCTGCTATCCCTCAGGAGCCGCTGCAGTCTCAGAATCAAAGCCTTGATGTTCGTCGTGACACACGTAGATTCACCCTGGGACTTCGCCCTCTGCCTCCGGAGGATCCATCAGACAATCCTGAGCAGCGTGCCAACCGTATTCGGTCGTTTTACAAGGAGTACTTCGACGAGTCTAAGACGGGCAGGGAAACCATATACGAGGACTACGGTCCAGAATACTTTCAGGACGATGGTTACGTCTACGATCCTACCACTGGTGAATACTATGATTCAGTTCCAGCACCATTCGCTGAGCCCGTCAATCGTCGTGCCATGACGCCGCCTCCACGCGCACCACCCCGCTTCCAAGGAGCTGCCAGGCATATGGCTACAGGCTCTGTGGGTGGTGCCAGCGATCGGTCCAACTATCCGGGACCTCGTGCTTTCTCTTCGGCTTCTCATCGGTTGCCCGGGCCTCGAGCTCCTCGCAAGCCAATGCCGCCCCCGTCACCACTTCAAGTTCTACCTTCTCCTCACTTGCTGAAAGAGGATTCCCTTATGATCGCTGCCGAGTATGCCCCAGGCATGAACTTCAAAGACAAAAAAGAAGGACGAGCAGAGACACCTCTTGGTGGACTGCGGCCTTACACTCCGGTAGCACCTGCTCGTACACCTCTTGCCTCCGCTTTCGATGAGCTCGCACCGATACCCAGCCCGTAAGTCTGTGTATTTCAGTAAAATCTGGATCACAAAAACTAACAATCTCCTTAGGCATGCATTGCGTAAATCAGGAACCTTCGATAACCTTGATTTCGCGCCTCCGCCTCGCTTCAAGAACGCAGAGACCGCAAGCGACGCCGGCAGCATTCATAGCAACCGCACAGGAATCTCTGCCGCTCATTTGCATAACATTCGCACGGGTGCGTATCGTGTCAGCCGGCTTCCTCCAGGGACTGTAGGCACGAAAGACGACTTGATGTCCAATCTTCGTCCATCATGGGATATGCGGCAAACATAGAAAGCTTCGTCAAGATTTGATCTTCTGTTCCTCCAGGTGATGAATATCTTTCCACAATGTCGCGCTAGGGTACTTCACGACCTTTCTCTTGTTATTTCTTCCGAAATGGGCGCTGTCTCCCCAGAGACTGGGATCAATGTTACTCGCAATCCTACGTCCATGGCGTACATAAGATATATGAAGCTGGATCTTTTTTTCTTTTCTATTTTCCGATCTTCCTATCTACTTTTTCAAGGCTCTGGCGGCATCCCTTTCCAAGTGTGAAACCTGAGATGCCGTCCGTGAATGGGGCTTTGTTCTGTTAGTGTGACTGATCATTTCCAGCTTTCCGCGTACTGTTCTTTAGAACAGTGAGTCGAGCATGGCTTTGTGCCGTCAGGCGTCTCAGGCTCTATTGTTTGAATTCTTTTCCTTTTTTGAGCGGCGCAAGTCTGGCTCGTTGAGAAATAGAATAGGTATACTTGAAATTCTTTCAACTGGTGCTGTCTCCGCACCTGATATCATCTTTCAAGTATTAGAGGGGAATATGATGGCTCCTTGGTTTGGACTCTGGCCCCAGCCGGTAAATCAACTTTCTGTTTTGAATATCTGGATTCAGAGCGACAGTGGCTCTACATAGGGAGATCATCAAGCTCCTCCATATGGTGTGTTCATCTGAATAGCAATGTGTCCTGACACTTCCCCATTTCCAGTCTGCAGATATATCGGATATTACTACAACACCTGCTTCTCTCAAGCAGCACCTTTTACGTAGAACATGCGAGTGACAGACTTGGAAAGAGTGGAAGTGAACAAATAGCATGTCAATGCAAGACCACGTGAATAGATTTATCAGGATTATCCACGGGGAGAATGGGCTTGACAACTCTAGCCTCCTGATGAGTAAGTGCGGAGGTATGAAGAGCTGCTGGTTAGTCATATTTATTATTGTAGTGAACTGTAGCCTTGGTTCCGGAGAGGGATTCCCTTCGTCCATGGTACAAAATTATCAGGTAACTCCGGTGAGAGGTAAGTAGTTATATGCTCAGTACTGTTGACTGTAGTCCTGATCCCATCCATGGATATGGGCTAAGGTGATCCGGTCTGCGCAACGGATTAGGATTGTGGCCTGAGAGTATCTCATAATTATCTGATCTGAACCATAAAGTCTACCTGCGAAAAAGCGTGTACAAAATATTCGGCAGTTGCTTTTCCATACTTCAATGTGAGGGCAACCTCGGAGAATTATTAGATACGCAGAAAAGATTGAGGAGGACGGGGGAAGTGAGAGAAACATACTTTGTAAGAAAGTAGGGCTAATGCTGACAGTGAGATACAACGAAAATAGAAAAACATTAATAATGCTGTTATTCGGTCATTCGTTACATGACCTAGGTATCCATATCAGTACTACCTACCTAACTAATAGAGGAATCCGTTTGGTTTTCCACCAATCAAAGCTGATATTCTACTTCAAGACTCAGGTACCTAATGCTCTGGGCCACCAAGCACATGTCTGTAAGGTAGACAACGAATAGACACTCATCTAGAAACTGATTTACAGAGTAAATACTGGGGTAGAAAAGGTGATAACTACCTGCTGCTGTGTATGTAGTCTACAGATCAAGCGAACTAATTCCTTTGTGGATACCGTTGACGCAAACATTAAATAAAAGGCCACGCCGGTAGATGTTTGTTTGGTAAAAGAAGATCCCGCTGCTGAGAGCATTGAGAAACTAACTTTACCTCCTTGTAATATATGAAAACGACCTTTATATTGAATATACATGCTGGTTGCGGGAAAGACTGCAGCAGTAACTCCGCACTTCCATTCCTAAAAAAGTACACGGAAGTACTTAATCCATTCGCCGCATGGCCGCATTTGTCTTTTGCTAATAATACCGGAGAATTCCATGGGCCTGTGGTGAATGGTAATCAATGACAACAAGCTCACCTAATTCAGTACCCTAGTGGTACCTAACTACTGTTGGACACATTTGCTTTAGATAATGTACAAAATAGTTTTATTTAGCTACAGTCTTAATTGAAGTCAGAGCAATTGCGAGAATTTCTAATAGGTGCTAGTTTTGAAAATAGAAGACTTTAATATGTTAATAAATAGCTAGACACTACTGTACCAGAGACTCAGTACGCATATTTGCCAACAGGAAGATATGTACTGAATATGGCTCTCTTAAGAGGAAGTAGAAGAATTTGAGCCCACCTAAAAGTCACTAGGAATGAATACCACTAGAGAAACCGGCTTTAACAATCTATTCATGATCCATGATCCATCTGTATTTTTACTAGATATTCTCTGCATCTCCACTCTCATTTCAATTCATTCCCTTTCTTCTAACTCGCTTTTCCTTCGTCCTTCGAACCGTTTCCTTTCTCAAACGGTGGAATTAACCTTATCATTGCCATTATATTGTACCTATTATCATCTATCTCCGGTCGCTGTCTTGCACTATCATCTCATGAAGCCTGTGTAGGTACCTGTCAGGTTTGGTCTTTCCTGACGTTTCCATTTCCTTTTGCCCCTGATCATCATCAACCGTCCGTCGGCCTCAATTCTGACCACCTCTGACGGCAACTCCTATAATCGCTGTGCGCGCACGATCGTTTACTGTGTCGTGTTCGACAGCCACTCTTTATCATTTCTTCTCTCACTCATTATTATCGGGTTTCATTTCTTATACTTTCATCTCTCCCCCAATTGTTAATGGGACTTCGGGCCCAGGCTCGCCCTCCACGAAATCACGGTCGGTCAACCTTCGGTCTGCTGATATTCCCAAGAAACGTCGAGAAAGTGAATTGCTCGACCCTGTATCTCAGTTGGAAGGGACGTCGCGTCAAAAGACAAGACAACTGTACCCACGGTGTCAACGCGTCTGGACTTTTGAGTTAGATTTCTCTTGGAAAGAGAATTTTCTGGTCGTACTAGCTCAGGAGAGCCACTGAATAATGTCTGGTATGGATTAGCCAGCCTGCTCACGATGGTCCCCTCTACTATCAGAATTGTCGTTCAATCGTGATCAGGCGGTCAATTAACTATTTTATAGGAACAGCACAGGCGGCTCCGACGAGCGCCACGACCGAAACAACTGCTGAGCAGACGCCGAGTGCACCCACGACGTCCTCGACCACCTCATCGACAACTTCCACAACGTCCACGCCGACAGAACCGTCAACGACTAGCACTACAAGTAGTACTAGCACTTCAAGCACGACAAGCACTTCATCCACCACTACTGCACAGACCACACAGTCCACCAGTTCCGAGACCTCTCGAATCCCCGACAGCGTCACCACATCTATCACTACTGCACCACCTGCCAATACACATACTGGGCCGACGACCGTTTACGTTACTTCGACGGAATCTACGTCTCAAACTCTCCCGACAGGAAATTCAGCCAATGGAGTGACAACTACATCATCTGGATCGTCAGCGACTGCATCGTCTACAGGAGGAAGCTCGGGTGGTTCTGGACTTACTGCTGGTGGCACAATCGCTGTAGCGGTAGTCGTACCTGTCGTCTCCGTAGCTTTGATCATCCTAGCTGCCTTGTACTTCTGGCGCAAATGGAAGGCAAAGAAAGCGGCGGAGGAAGAACGAAGAAAAGAGGTGGAGGAGTACGGATTCAACCCAAATAACGATCCGACACTACCGCCCATCATGGGTGGCGGCGCTGCATACGAACCCAAGGAGGACACATCCGGATATCGGGGATGGGGAACGACTTCCGCTGGCCGCAAAGCATCGACGAATTTGTCGAGCGGCGCCGGGGCGGGATTAGCTATGTCGGAAGCTGGAAGTGCACCTGGCTATCATCACGCTGCAACTCCGAGCGACGGTACCATCCAATTTTCCGAAGGACAGATGCAAGAAACCGAACCAATCGGGGTCTTGGGGGCTGCTCCTGCAGCTTCTAATAATCGCACCACTGACATCCACCGTGGTCCGTCCAATGCTTCGTCGGCTTACTCCGCAGCCAATAGATCCGAGGCCTCGGAAGAAAGCCATATGTCTGGCACCCATCCGACTGGTGTCTTCTACGAGGATAATCCGTACTATAGTGATATGCAAGGGCAGTACGGGGCTTATGGAGACGGTCCATATGTCCCGAATCAGCCTGTGATTCGAGATGTCCAGGCCCGGCGCAATACGCGGATCGAGAACCCGGCGGTCTTCCCACGACAAGGAAACGCTGGCATCGCCCAAAACTTCTGAAAGAATGATATGAAGTCACTGTGTCTTTGCCGATTATGGTAGGGTCCTGACCAGTGCTTCTGCTGCGGCCGCAGGACACTGACGAAGCACTCGAATTGATATCAGCTGGCCTCTCCCACCTGCCGATCAATTGGTTTGGCATTATCTTGTGCCGTCAACATTTATGTCTCGTTCAATCACGATTCGCCGATCTTGTTTTCTTCGCTCAAACCCGTCTTCTTGGACTTACTTCTCTTTCCTCTTCTCATTGTTTTCATAGCCCATTCTTTGAGGATTTTTCCATGATTCCTTCACTCGATTTATCTTTTGTTCTAACAGTTCGCTTATGTTCATGAGATCCTGTATTCCCGCTCCTAAGGCACCGTCTTTTCCTCTTTGTTTTCTTTGCCAGGTTTATATACCGCTGGGCTCTCTTCTGGCCGCTTGCCTGCTGTTGCTTCGCATTTTTGGTTTGATATCCGAGATATTGGAGATTCCGAACCGGCTCCAGGCGTGCATGAACATCTCCAGTTCCATGGTCATCTGCGTTCCATGTTATTCGTTGACTTTTCTGGATCGAGTTTATGGGGTCAAGTTACACTGCTTGCATCTTACCTTTGTATATTTGGATGCAATGGTCCTGTAATTCCTCTGAGAGAGTTGCACATTAAAATACATACAATGTCATCCTTGTACTTTCGTCAGCCATGTTCGTTGTATATTCCCTTAATCGCTTTCTAGCGCCGGTGTGGAGTATTCCAAATGTGGTAGGAGCCACCGGTCTAGCCAACAGCCTACACAGACA